TTGAACATATATTCTGTGTTTGGGATTATAGGAAAGATGTTTTTTTTGTCAAACTTTAAAATAAATTAGCTGTTTTAGGAATATTATATAAAAAAAATTGGGTAAAATTTTCTTACAAGGAATTGAATAATAAGGTAAACATAAATATTAACAAAAGACCGCTTTATTAATCGATTAGATCTAAGACCAACATTTTATCTTCACTAACAGAGGCATCATACATTAAATAAAAATCATTATTGCGAGCAGGAATCAGCAAAAAAATCAGCTGATACATTAGATTTTCTGCCTTTGGATATGATGCCGATCTCTATTTCATCAACATTTTACCCTCTACCAAAAATCAAAAAGATGTTAGATCATATGGTATTTTTTTTTAAAGAACCTAAATTGTCATTACCGAATAAATTCTTTTCTTTCCTTTCATTAATCGTTAGATATTTTACACAAATCCTAATATTTAAATAAATAAATAATTGTAATAGAAATTCTTTTATATATTAATCATAATTATTCTATAAAAATATATAATTTTTATTTATAAAACACCATTTTAACGGTGATTGCTTTTAAGAGTTTCTAATCTAATATCGTTTCTGTGCGCCACTTTGACCGCAATGAACACCCGAATGAAATGAGATACGGTATAATTTATTTAAAATAACGAGTAACTCAAGAAAAACCGTCAGTAACACAACACCGTTACTTTTGTAACGCGTTACAATTTTATAATTGATCCCTTAAATTTTTTTTAAAAATAAGTCTCTTTTAATTTTTGATTTTAGCGTGCATTTTAAATAAAAACTAGAAAATCAAAACCTATATCGAAGAGGGTGCCCGGATCTATGTTAATAGGTTGATGACGTTCTTTCAGCATATGAAGAGCGTTAGAACATAATTCATACTGCCAATCGCTGATAGACTTTTGCATCACCGTCTCAAACTCTCTCACGCACCTAACCTGTATGTTAAACAAACATCGAGATTCATTGTATTAGTGTCGATAAAATTGCGCGCTTTTTAAAAAAACGGCTAACGCTAGCCAAAAAATATTGAGCAAAAGCCCGAAAAAAATTCGGACATCTATAAACGAAATTTTCGAAGCTTGCGTTAATATTATTTTGGCTAAAATTTTCATTAAAAATCGGTTACAACACTACATTGTGTAACGTTGGTGTTGATAAAAGGCTCGATTTGCGCCGATTTTTAAAACCGGCTGACATTATATTTATCCGGAGCAATATTACGCAAACCTGAAGAATTTGGCTCACGCAAAGGTTTGGATATCCATTAGCGAAATCTAGGGGCTAGGGCAATATTTTTCTGGCGAAAATAACGAGTTAGCCGTTTTTATAAATCACACTCTTATACATATTTAAAAAGTGGATCAGTAAAAGTAAGTTTATAAATAAAAGCGATTCAGGGCGAGACAAATTTTTTGCAAGTATTGTCACAATGTATAAAAAAAAATGATAGATTTAATATATATTTAAACTTAAGAGACAAAAATTATATATATGCCTATTTCTTATTTACCCATTTTTTTTTGCTTTGCACTTTTAATTTTAAAATATAAAATAAATCGAAAACACAAATTTTATATTATAAATTATTTATAAATTCGATACCTAGAAATTGATTTTTTAAATCTCATTTTTACATTTATTTACACCTCGTGCTAGCGCGACTAGATTGGTTACAAATTTGGTCTACGAATTTAGTCATTACTTTACTAAAATTATCGGCGTAATTTAAGCGAAACTGTTTTTTTTTATATATCGTCGTCTGAGAATTAGATTATTCCATCTCCACATTTTGTAAGAGCATATTTTTTTAAAAAAATTAAGTTTCTATTGTTTTCAATAGGATATATTAAAAATTGATTTATGTAAAAAAAAGTCATTTTTGACAAAATATGGATATAGAATAATCTAGTAGGAGACGATATGTATATCGGCATAACCTAAAATTAACTTTGACTAATTTATATTTCGGCGTAAACCTAAATTGAATTTTTATTTTTATATTACGACACATGAATTTATATTTACTAACTTACCCTTTTGAAGTTCAAATTCAGAGTTTACAACGCATCCTTTATATACTTAAGCCTAACATTTTTACTCTCGTCTGGAGTGTTTTTCGATTTTATTTGCTCAACGTAAGTTTTTTGATATATTTAGGCTAGTAAATATTATCTATTCATACTTATTTCAAGGTCTCTCTCAATACTAATTAAAATAAAATTAATACAGCCAATTACCATTCCATACTTAATTTAATCGGGCATGGGCTTTTTTACCTCTCCTTTTATTTCCCATGGGCATTTAAGTAAGGGGCTCTGACTCTTGCACGCACAGGTATCTGCGGCCTTATCAAAGGTGGTCCTCTTAATTAATTATTTAATCATTCCCCATCTTTGTATCCCAGTTAGATGGGCTTTTCATGAGAGAACCAAACGTTGCTGTTGTATATATATATCTGATGTATATATGACGTTTTAGGGCTAGTGTGCTTAATATCTCGTATCACTTAACTTACCCTTTTGTCTTTTGTTGTGAAAATAATTTATGATATAAATTAATTGCATTTATAAGATGATAAAAATTGATAATATATTATACTACTTGAAAACATTTTCTGAACTCTTACTCTAATCTCTGCAGAATCATGTGCTACTAAAACTAGTGTTGTTAAACGGCTCGATTTTTGAAAAGGTTAACTCAATATCTTAGCCAAAAATTATTAGACAAGCCTAAAAATTTTGCTCATAGATGGCAAAAAAAAGGTTTAGTTAGGATATCTATTAAAACGAAATCTAGAGGCTTGACTTGAGTTATATCGGAAAAAAAATGTGCCTGTAAATGACCACCAAATTTGTAGTTATACTAGGGTAATGTAACATTAATACCTTTAACAATTTGGTTTTGTAAATCAACTTTATTATGAAGAAATAAACATTCAAGAAAACAGTTTCACTATGACTATAAAAAAAAAATTTTTTATCATTTAAAATGATGGGGTGGAAAGGACATTTGAGGAAAAAATCATATAACCTTCTTTTTAAATCAGATTTAACACTGATATGTAATACAATTTTTGGGTATTGGTGTTGGGGAAAGGCCTATACTAATTTTATATCAATATCGGTTAAAAAGAGACAGCATTTTTGGTAAATATAGAAAATATCGTAATTAATAATTAAAAATTTGCTTAGAATATTCTACTTTAAAAAGAAATATATATAGTTTTTTAAATAAATAACATTCCTTAAACAAATTTTTTATTCATACAATCAATTATCAATACCAACCAATATACAATACTATCTATAAAATATACTGTTTCACTTTACGAGTAATTAAAATGGAGGTCCTTCTGATTTGTCATTTTATCACCCGTTTAAGCACTTTTGTGTTCCAGTATTTAAATGAGCTTTTTAAAAAATTCTGTTATTTTGTCTAGTTCAATGAGGAATGAACCCCATTTTTGTGAATCCAAAAGTTTATCCTACTGAACTCGTTAAATAATAATTGGTTTGGTTTTGGTGGTATAATATGAAATATGTAATTTTATCTTTTTATTGGTAAATTGATTTCTATAAAGTATAATAATAAATAAATATTATTTTTTTGTGAATTTTTTTTAAAAAAATGTTTCTTTTTCTACCCCGTTATGTTGATTGTTCTATTTCCTGAAATCCAAATTCAGAATTACTCAAAAATTATAATATAGCATGTGGTCCTTTAAATTTTTCTTAATTGGTATCACTAAAATTGATAAATAATAAACTGTATACTTAATTAATTTTAATAAAGGGTAATATTTTAATATTAATAATTTAAAATATAACATATAACACATGATTACAAAAATTCAAATAAATTTTGAGTATTTCAAGTTTTAATCTTCCCTTAACCAGTTATTTTTCATCCTGAACCCAAACTTTTATAATGGCCTCTGCCTAAACCCAGAGATATTCTTTAAAATAAAGTTCCAACCAATTAATATATAAAATGATGGGGAAAAAACTCTTTCAATTATAGAATATCTGTGATTATTAACTAGTTCAAATTATGCAATTAAATTAGTAGTTATAGTATTTTTCTTAGTATCAACATCTTGTAAAAAGATTAATATCTAAAATACATTTATAAATATTTAAATTAAATCAAGGTATAAGATAATTTATTCATATATTAATACTCTACCTGATCAATCATTATATGTGTAATTACAAATTTTAATATTTTTATAAATATTTAAAATAAAAATATTAATTAATGCCTCCATGGCTTATTAAGAGTAGAGATATACCGACACCACTAATTCAACTTTTTACCCATTACTGTTGAATAATACCAAGAAAAATATTTAGTTATATAAAAATTCAAAAATTATGTAACTGAGATTCAAAATAATGTCTGGTTAATTTGATAATATTATACAAAGTTATAATAGATATTTAATTTTTTATAAATATTTTTAAGCCTCCTAGGATGCTAGGTCAATGCATCTGAACTTAATTATATTTAAATGTAATATATCTGTAGTCAGATATGGTCAAAGGAATGATTTGGGTTATATTGAGACTTTAGAAGTGTTAAACAATAAATTAAAGAAATATTTATCTTCACCCAAATATAATTTTTTAAAAGTAAATTGTCATAATTTTAGCTTTTGATACCATTAACAATGTAATGTAAAGTATCAGCCTTGGTATTGATGCATCTTTGGTAAATAGTTTGGAATTGGATTTAAAATAAATCTGAAACCAAGTTAGGACAGAAATCCACGACCTCTATTAAAAAAAATTTAGGAAGCAGAACTATCTTATTTTAATCCAAATTCCAAAAATCTGATATATATCAATGTCTTTATATATAATTAAATTTAAACTTGATATATTAGAATGCTAAATATCAACTGTGTCTTAATAATTTGCAAAGATTTTTGAGATTCTTCCTGCATTGTTCTTAGGTGATATCAAACAATTATTGGATAAAACCTTATCGATAACAGATTATAAATCTTGTATGAAAAAAATATTTCAACATCCTGTTAAAGAATGTAAATCATTTTCATTTCAACAAAAGACTTCCTCCTTTAGTTGTTTGTTATTATTGGGCTCTGTTTATCCATATCATGCAGAAGAATCTCAAAAATCTTTGCAAATTATTAAGACACAGTTGATATTTAGCATTCTAATATATCAAGTTTAAATTTAATTATATATAAAGACATTGATATATATCAGATTTTTGGAATTTGGATTAAAATAAGATAGTTCTGCTTCCTAAATTTTTTTTAATAGAGGTCGTGGATTTCTGTCCTAACTTGGTTTCAGATTTATTTTAAATCCAATTCCAAACTATTTACCAAAGATGCATCAATACCAAGGCTGATACTTTACATTACATTGTTAATGGTATCAAAAGCTAAAATTATGACAATTTACTTTTAAAAAATTATATTTGGGTGAAGATAAATATTTCTTTAATTTATTGTTTAACACTTCTAAAGTCTCAATATAACCCAAATCATTCCTTTGACCATATCTGACTACAGATATATTACATTTAAATATAATTAAGTTCAGATGCATTGACCTAGCATCCTAGGAGGCTTAAAAATATTTATAAAAAATTAAATATCTATTATAACTTTGTATAATATTATCAAATTAACCAGACATTATTTTGAATCTCAGTTACATAATTTTTGAATTTTTATATAACTAAATATTTTTCTTGGTATTATTCAACAGTAATGGGTAAAAAGTTGAATTAGTGGTGTCGGTATATCTCTACTCTTAATAAGCCATGGAGGCATTAATTAATATTTTTATTTTAAATATTTATAAAAATATTAAAATTTGTAATTACACATATAATGATTGATCAGGTAGAGTATTAATATATGAATAAATTATCTTATACCTTGATTTAATTTAAATATTTATAAATGTATTTTAGATATTAATCTTTTTACAAGATGTTGATACTAAGAAAAATACTATAACTACTAATTTAATTGCATAATTTGAACTAGTTAATAATCACAGATATTCTATAATTGAAAGAGTTTTTTCCCCATCATTTTATATATTAATTGGTTGGAACTTTATTTTAAAGAATATCTCTGGGTTTAGGCAGAGGCCATTATAAAAGTTTGGGTTCAGGATGAAAAATAACTGGTTAAGGGAAGATTAAAACTTGAAATACTCAAAATTTATTTGAATTTTTGTAATCATGTGTTATATGTTATATTTTAAATTATTAATATTAAAATATTACCCTTTATTAAAATTAATTAAGTATACAGTTTATTATTTATCAATTTTAGTGATACCAATTAAGAAAAATTTAAAGGACCACATGCTATATTATAATTTTTGAGTAATTCTGAATTTGGATTTCAGGAAATAGAACAATCAACATAACGGGGTAGAAAAAGAAACATTTTTTTAAAAAAAATTCACAAAAAAATAATATTTATTTATTATTATACTTTATAGAAATCAATTTACCAATAAAAAGATAAAATTACATATTTCATATTATACCACCAAAACCAAACCAATTATTATTTAACGAGTTCAGTAGGATAAACTTTTGGATTCACAAAAATGGGGTTCATTCCTCATTGAACTAGACAAAATAACAGAATTTTTTAAAAAGCTCATTTAAATACTGGAACACAAAAGTGCTTAAACGGGTGATAAAATGACAAATCAGAAGGACCTCCATTTTAATTACTCGTAAAGTGAAACAGTATATTTTATAGATAGTATTGTATATTGGTTGGTATTGATAATTGATTGTATGAATAAAAAATTTGTTTAAGGAATGTTATTTATTTAAAAAACTATATATATTTCTTTTTAAAGTAGAATATTCTAAGCAAATTTTTAATTATTAATTACGATATTTTCTATATTTACCAAAAATGCTGTCTCTTTTTAACCGATATTGATATAAAATTAGTATAGGCCTTTCCTCAACACCAATACCCAAAAATTGTATTACATATCAGTGTTAAATCTGATTTAAAAAGAAGGTTATATGATTTTTTCCTCAAATGTCCTTTCCACCCCATCATTTTAAATGATAAAAAATTTTTTTTTTATAGTCATAGTGAAACTGTTTTCTTGAATGTTTATTTCTTCATAATAAAGTTGATTTACAAAACCAAATTGTTAAAGGTATTAATGTTACATTACCCTAGTATAACTACAAATTTGGTGGTCATTTACAGGCACATTTTTTTTCCGATATAACTCAAGTCAAGCCTCTAGATTTCGTTTTAATAGATATCCTAACTAAACCTTTTTTTTGCCATCTATGAGCAAAATTTTTAGGCTTGTCTAATAATTTTTGGCTAAGATATTGAGTTAACCTTTTCAAAAATCGAGCCGTTTAACAACACTAGTTTTAGTAGCACATGATTCTGCAGAGATTAGAGTAAGAGTTCAGAAAATGTTTTCAAGTAGTATAATATATTATCAATTTTTATCATCTTATAAATGCAATTAATTTATATCATAAATTATTTTCACAACAAAAGACAAAAGGGTAAGTTAAGTGATACGAGATATTAAGCACACTAGCCCTAAAACGTCATATATACATCAGATATATATATACAACAGCAACGTTTGGTTCTCTCATGAAAAGCCCATCTAACTGGGATACAAAGATGGGGAATGATTAAATAATTAATTAAGAGGACCACCTTTGATAAGGCCGCAGATACCTGTGCGTGCAAGAGTCAGAGCCCCTTACTTAAATGCCCATGGGAAATAAAAGGAGAGGTAAAAAAGCCCATGCCCGATTAAATTAAGTATGGAATGGTAATTGGCTGTATTAATTTTATTTTAATTAGTATTGAGAGAGACCTTGAAATAAGTATGAATAGATAATATTTACTAGCCTAAATATATCAAAAAACTTACGTTGAGCAAATAAAATCGAAAAACACTCCAGACGAGAGTAAAAATGTTAGGCTTAAGTATATAAAGGATGCGTTGTAAACTCTGAATTTGAACTTCAAAAGGGTAAGTTAGTAAATATAAATTCATGTGTCGTAATATAAAAATAAAAATTCAATTTAGGTTTACGCCGAAATATAAATTAGTCAAAGTTAATTTTAGGTTATGCCGATATACATATCGTCTCCTACTAGATTATTCTATATCCATATTTTGTCAAAAATGACTTTTTTTTACATAAATCAATTTTTTATATATCCTATTGAAAACAATAGAAACTTAATTTTTTTAAAAAAATATGCTCTTACAAAATGTGGAGATGGAATAATCTAATTCTCAGATGACGATATATAAAAAAAAACAGTTTCGCTTAAATTACGCCGATAATTTTAGTAAAGTAATGACTAAATTCGTAGACCAAATTTGTAACCAATCTAGTCGCGCTAGCACGAGGTGTAAATAAATGTAAAAATGAGATTTAAAAAATCAATTTCTAGGTATCGAATTTATAAATAATTTAAAATATAAAATTTGTGTTTTCGATTTATTTTATATTTTAAAATTAAAAGTGCAAAGCAAAAAAAAATGGGTAAATAAGAAATAGGCATATATATAATTTTTGTCTCTTAAGTTTAAATATATATTAAATCTATCATTTTTTTTTATACATTGTGACAATACTTGCAAAAAATTTGTCTCGCCCTGAATCGCTTTTATTTATAAACTTACTTTTACTGATCCACTTTTTAAATATGTATAAGAGTGTGATTTATAAAAACGGCTAACTCGTTATTTTCGCCAGAAAAATATTGCCCTAGCCCCTAGATTTCGCTAATGGATATCCAAACCTTTGCGTGAGCCAAATTCTTCAGGTTTGCGTAATATTGCTCCGGATAAATATAATGTCAGCCGGTTTTAAAAATCGGCGCAAATCGAGCCTTTTATCAACACCAACGTTACACAATGTAGTGTTGTAACCGATTTTTAATGAAAATTTTAGCCAAAATAATATTAACGCAAGCTTCGAAAATTTCGTTTATAGATGTCCGAATTTTTTTCGGGCTTTTGCTCAATATTTTTTGGCTAGCGTTAGCCGTTTTTAAAAAAAAGCGCGCTTTATCGACACTAATACAATGAATCTCGATGTTTGTTTAACATACAGGTTAGGTGCGTGAGAGAGTTTGAGACGGTGATGCAAAAGTCTATCAGCGATTGGCAGTATGAATTATGTTCTAACGCTCTTCATATGCTGAAAGAACGTCATCAACCTATTAACATAGATCCGGGCACCCTCTTCGATATAGGTTTTGATTTTCTAGTTTTTATTTAAAATGCACGCTAAAATCAAAAATTAAAAGAGACTTATTTTTAAAAAAAATTTAAGGGATCAATTATAAAATTGTAACGCGTTACAAAAGTAACGGTGTTGTGTTACTGACGGTTTTTCTTGAGTTACTCGTTATTTTAAATAAATTATACCGTATCTCATTTCATTCGGGTGTTCATTGCGGTCAAAGTGGCGCACAGAAACGATATTAGATTAGAAACTCTTAAAAGCAATCACCGTTAAAATGGTGTTTTATAAATAAAAATTATATATTTTTATAGAATAATTATGATTAATATATAAAAGAATTTCTATTACAATTATTTATTTATTTAAATATTAGGATTTGTGTAAAATATCTAACGATTAATGAAAGGAAAGAAAAGAATTTATTCGGTAATGACAATTTAGGTTCTTTAAAAAAAAATACCATATGATCTAACATCTTTTTGATTTTTGGTAGAGGGTAAAATGTTGATGAAATAGAGATCGGCATCATATCCAAAGGCAGAAAATCTAATGTATCAGCTGATTTTTTTGCTGATTCCTGCTCGCAATAATGATTTTTATTTAATGTATGATGCCTCTGTTAGTGAAGATAAAATGTTGGTCTTAGATCTAATCGATTAATAAAGCGGTCTTTTGTTAATATTTATGTTTACCTTATTATTCAATTCCTTGTAAGAAAATTTTACCCAATTTTTTTTATATAATATTCCTAAAACAGCTAATTTATTTTAAAGTTTGACAAAAAAAACATCTTTCCTATAATCCCAAACACAGAATATATGTTCAAATGCAATGCCTAATTTAATGTATCTTCAACAAGTAACATAAAATGATGAATCTTCACGCAAAGACATATTCGAGGTTCACATATGAAAAAGTAATGTAAGATATATCTGGCTTGGTGTGTTCATAGATATAAAGAAAATAGTTTTTAATTGCTAATGTACTGAAAACGCACTATCATTTTCTAAATTAAAGTTCCATCCATGGTTAATCCACTGGAACCCTGGTTTAAATTGTTTATTGGATTTACTTGGACCCATATATGGTTCTTATGGATTAGCGGTAGTTTATGAGTTCCCATCCCATATACAATAATAGTCGATATTTTAACAACATTGTTAACATAGAAATTAAACATAAATTTAAACTCATTCAATTGTTCACTTGCTCAGCTACCTTCTAAACTAGGCGGTTTAGATTTTTTTCCGCTCAATCTTTTATCCTTATCATCATTCGTATCATCTAGATTATCTAACAATTCTCTGATTTCTGGCTTCATATGCCCTACCGATCGTTTATTATACGACGCTATTGACAAATGGAAGGCAAATACACCCATTAACCCCGTATTACCATCAATCATCACACACAAAAAAATTTTCACACCTTTAATCTCGAAATACCAAACAGATATATCAGTCAATCCACCTTTAGATTGCATTCAACTCCTTCAATTATCAGGTTATGAATGGTTAGAATCACTCCCTAGTCGCAACCTTGGTAATCTCTTATCAGATCAACAACTGAGAGTAACCATTGGTTTACGTCAAGGTTGCGATTAGTGTTGCGTAATCGGCTAATTTTAGCCGACTAAAAACGGCTTAGCCGAGATTTTAGGTGGAAAAATCCGCTAAGCCTAATTAGGTATAGCCTAAAAATCGGCTAAGCCTAATTAGGCTAAGCCTAAAAATCAGCTAAGCCTAATTAGGCTAAGCCTAAAAATCGGCTAAACCTAATTAGGCTAAGCCTAAAAATTGGTCTAAGCCTAAAAATCGGCTAAGCCTAAAAATTGGCTAAGCCTAAAAATGGGCTAAGCCTAAAAATTGGCTAAAATAAATTAGTCAAAATTCTGCATCGATGCTTAGCATTAATTATTATTTATTTATTTTAGTAAAATAATTTATTTTATTTATATTTAATGTAAATATTTTATTATTATCAACAAATAAACATGATATGATTTAATATTTTTTATTTATATTATTATATTTTGAAATGAAAATAAATTTATTTATTTGATGTTTTTTTAATAAAAAAATAATATGCTGCTATATTGTAAAAATGTAATATTCTTTATAATATAATTTATTAGTGATTTTCACAATCTTCTTTGTAAATACATCTTTTATTGAGGAATTATATTGTAAATTTTATTAGATAAATAAACAATCTTTTAGGTGAAATCTTTTATCATTTTTTTAAAATTATCTATTTATTATTAAATAAGGTGGATTTTATGAAACTTTTTTGATGTTATTTTATATGATCTTTTTAAGGATAATATTTTAATGTGACAATTGTCATAATCGTTCTTTTATAAGTTTTTTGAATTTTTTGAAGGAAGTATGTTAAAATAAGTATTAATAACATGTGTAAATATCAAATTTAGTGAAGATGTACTAATGAAAAGTGACAATTGTCATAATCGTTATTTTTAAAGTTTTTTCGAATTTTTTTGACGAAAATATGTTAAAAATAAGAATTAATAACATGTGTAAATATAAATTTAGTGAAGATGTACTAATGAAAAGTGACAATTGTCATAATGGTTAATTTTAAAGTTTTTGAATTTTTTGACGAAAATTTGTTAAAATAAGTATTAATAACATGTGTAAATATAAATTTAGTGAAGATGTACCATAGAAAAGTGACAATTGTCATAATCGTTATTTTTAAAGTTTTGAATTTTTTGACGAAATATGTTAAAATAAGTATTAATAACATGTGTAAATATAAATTTAGTGAAGATGTACCAATGAAAAGTGATAATTGTCATAATCGCTATTTTTAAAGTTTTTTGAATTTTTTTGACGAAAATATGTTAAAATAAGTATTAATAACATGTGTAAATATAAATTTAGTGAAGATGTACCATAGAAAAGTGACAATTGTCATAATCGTTATTTTTAAAGTTTTTGGAATTTTTTTGACGAAAATATGTTAAAATAAGTATTAATAACATGTGTAAATATAAATTTAGTGAAGATGTACCATAGAAAACTGACAATTGTCATAATCGCTATTTTTAAAGTTTTTTGAATTTTTTTGACGAAAATATGTTAAATTAAGTATTAATAACATGTGTAAATATAAATTTAGTGAAGATGTACCAATGAAAAGTGACATTTGTCATAATCGTTAATTTTAAAATTTTTCGAATTTTTTTGAAGAAAATATGTTAAAATAAGTATTAACATGTGTAAATATAAATTTAGTGAAGAAGTACCAATGAAAAGTGACATTTGTCATAATCGTTATTTTTAAAGTTTTTTGATTTTTTTTTGACAAAAATAGTTAACTTGCATCGATATTGATTTTAAGATAGAAAAAAAAGTTTACCCAAATTTTAAACAAGATTGTCTGGTGAAAATTGGTAAAAAAATAATAATTTCTAACTTAGGATTAGATATTATGATATAAATTTTGCATATTAATTTCTGACCCGATGAACAAATGTAATAAAATGCCAATTTTCTCCTGTTTTTGGGGAAGAATCTATTATTACCATATGTTTTTCTATGGCATATTACTCAGGCAATTTTAATTTTACAATCTATATTTTTACCCATTTACATCAAAGAAATTTTAAAAATAACGATTATGACAATTGTCACTTTTCTATAGTACATCTTCACTAAATTTTTATTTAAACATGTTATTATTACTCATTTTAACATATTTTCGTCAACAAAAATCAAAAAACTTGAAAAATAATGATTATGACAATTGTCGCTTATCTAGAGTACATCTTCATTAAATTTTTATTTAAACATGTTATATATACATATTTTAAAATATTTTCGTCAAAAAATTCAAAAAACTTTAAGAATAACGATTATGACAATTGTCACTTTTCATTGGTACATCTTCACTAAATTTATATTTACACATGTTATTAATACTTATTTTAACATATTTTCGTCAAAAAAATTTAAAAAATAACGAATATGACAATTGTCACTTTTCATTGTCTTTCACTAAATTTATATTTACACATGTTATTAATACTTATTTTAACATATTTTCGTCAAAAAATTCAAAAAACTTTAAAAATAACCATTATGACAATGTCAATTTTCTATGGTACATCTTCACTAAATTTTATTTAAACATGTTATCAATACTTATTTTATTATATTTTCTTCAAAAAAAAATTCAAAAAACTTATAAAATAACGATTATGACAATTGTCACTTTTCCTATGGTACATCTTCACTAAATTTTTATTTAAACATGTTTTTAATACTTATTTTAACATATTTTCTTCAAAAAAATTCCAAAAACTTATAAAATAACGATTTTGATAATTGTCACTTTTCTATGGTACATCTTCATTACGTTTTTATTTAAACATGTTTTTACTACTTATTTTAACATATTTTCTTCAAAAAAATTCAAAAAACTTTAAAAATAACGATTATGACAAATGTCACTTTTCATTGGTACATCTTCACTAAATTTATATTTACACATGTTATTAATACTTATTTTAACATATTTTCTTCAAAAAAATTCCAAAAACTTATAAAATAACGATTATGATAATTGTCACTTTTCTATGGTACATCTTCATTAAGTTTTTATTTAAACATGTTTTTACTACTTATTTTAACATATTTTCTTCAAAAAAATTCAAAAAAACTTATAAAAATAACGATTATGACAAATGTCACTTTTCATTGGTACATCTTCACTAAATTTATATTTACACATGTTATTAATACTTATTTTAACCTATTTTTTTCAAAAAAATTCAAAAAACTTATAAAATAACGATTATGACAAATGTCACTTTTCATTGGTACATCTTCACTAAATTTATATTTACACATGTTATTAATACTTATTTTAACCTATTTTCTTCAAAAAAATTCAAAAAACGTATAAAATAACGATTATGACAATTGTCACTTTTCTATGGTACATCTTCACTAAATTTTTATTTAAACATGTTTTTAATACTTATTTTAACATATTTTCTTCAAAAAAATTCAAAAAACTTTAAAAATAACGATTATGACAATTGTCACTTTTCTATGGTACATCTTCATTAAGTTTTTATTTAAACATGTTTTTACTACTTATTTTAACATATTGTCTTCAAAAAATTCAAAAACTTTAAAAATAACGATTATGACAATTGTCACTTTTCATTGGTACATCTTCACTAAATTTATATTTACACATGTTATTAATACTTATTTTAACATATTTTCGTCAAAAAATTCAAAAAAATTCAAAAAACTTTAAAAATAGCGATTATGACAATTGTCACTTTTCATATGGTACTTCTTCACTAAATTTATATTTACACATGTTATCAATACTTATTTTAACATATTTTCGTCAAAAAAATTCAAAAAACTTATAAAAATAACGATTATGACAATTGTCACTTTTCTATGGTACATCTTCACTAAACTTTTATTTAAACATGTTTTTAATACTTATTTTAACAATATTTTCGTCAAAAAAATTCAAAAACTTATAAAATTAACGATTATGACAATTGTCACTTTTCATATGGTACATCTTCACTAAGTTTTTATTTACACATGTTTTTACTTCTTATTTTAACATATTTTCGTCAAAAAAATTCGAAAAACTTTAAAAATAACGATTATGACAATTGTCACTTTTCATTGGTACATCTTCACTAAATTTGTATTTACACATGTTATTAATACTTATTTTAACATACTTCCGTCAAAAAAATTCAAAAAACTTATAAAAGATAGCGATTATGACAATTGTCACTTTTCATTGGTACATCTTCACTCAACTTATATTTACACATGTTATCAATACTTATTTTAACATATTTTCGTCAAAAAAATTCAAAAACTCTAAAAATAACGATTATGACAATTGTCACTTTTCTATGGTACATCTCACTAAATTTATATTTACACATGTTATTGATACTTATTTTAACAAATTTTCGTCAAAAAACTTTGAAATTAACCATTATGACAATTGTCACTTTTCATTGGTACATCTTCACTAAATTTGTATTTACACATGTTATTAATTCTTATTTTAACATATTTTCGTCAAAATATCGAATTACCTCAAAAATAACGATTATGACAATTGTCACTTTATCATTAGTACGTCTTCACTAGATTGTGTATTTACACATGCTACTAATACTTATTTTAACATACTTCCTTCAAAGAATATTCACATAACTTATACAAAGACGATTATGACAATTGTCACATTAAAATATTATCCTTAAAAAGATCATATAAAATAACATCAAATAAGTTTCATAAAATCCACTTTTCATTTCAATAATATAATAGTATAATTTTAAAAAAATGATTAAAGATTTCACCTATCAGATTGTTTATTTGTCTGATAATAATTTACAATATAATTCCTACATTAAAAGATGTATTTACAAAGAAGATTGTGAAAATCACTAATAAATTATATTATAAATAAAATATTACATACTTTAGCAATCGATAGCAGCATTTTGACTATTTTTATTAGCAGAACATCAAATAAATAGGCTTAGCTTCGATTTCTAGGCATAATAACCTAATTAGGAAACATTAGACCGTATCATGTTTATTTGTTGATGCCGATAAAATATTTACAGCCGATATAAATAAAATAAATTAGCCTACTATAAATAATAAAAATTAATACTAAGCATCGATGCAGAATTTTGACTAATTTTTAGCAGATTTATATAGGCTTAGCCGATTTTTAGGCTTAACCTAATTAGGCTAGCCGATTTTTAGTTTAGCCGATTTTTAAGCCGATTTTTAGGCTTAGCCTTATTAGTCTTAGGCGTAGTTTTTAGCCGATTACGCAACACTAGTTGCGATATAATACAGCCTCATGCCTGCATCAAATGCAAATCACCCGTTGATTCAAAGGGTAGACATGGCTTAAATTGTATTTTTAGTCAAGGGCGACATCAACGCCACTCAGCTGTAAACCATATAGTAAATAGAAGCTTAACAGCTGCACAAATTCCAAACAATCTTGAACCATCAAATTTATTTCAAGTAGATGGTTTAAGACCTGATGGTATGACAACCATACCTTGGGCCCTCGGCAAATCACTCTTATGGGACTACACTTGTGTCTCATCATTCCCTTCAAACATAAATTTCAATTTAATATTACAGGCAGAAATTAAAAAGACAAACAAATAAAAAAATTTTAAAAACTTCATATTCACTCCAGTAGTGACTTCTACTAACGGGCATTTTTCGCCTTCAACATTTATGTTTTTAAAAAATCTGGGTAATAAAATTCGACTTTTCACAAATGAACCCAGAGAATTCCTTTTTATTCGACAAAAAATTCAAATAGAAATTTTTACAATTATGGTTCCTTTTTGGGGACTCAATTATAGAATTTTATTTTTAATTATATAATTATAAATTATAATTTTTTTAATTCGGTTTTATGTAAATTTAAAAATAAATAGAATACGTTTGAATATTACTTTTATATCTAATAAAATATTTTTAAAAAATGACCAGTTCAAGGCCGGGCTTTTTATTTAGGACCACTGGATCAGTCTTTTTGATGACCGTGTTTCGGTCCATATATCGTTCGGACCGTTACTAGCTTATATTCAATTTATACCAATTATATTTTAAATTTCTTCCGAAAACATTTGATTTAACTTAAATCTTAATTCCATAGAGTTTCGGCATTAATATCGGCCACCAAATGCAGGCATCATTTGTATCTCTACCTCCCCCCAACCCTTTTCCAATTTTTGTCATTTTTAATTCGCTCATTATATCTTTGTATATTATATATTTTTTCTTGTAGAAGCAAGCTGTTTGTTTTTAGGATTCATTGATTTTCTCGACCGCACACATTTCGACCTGGCTCATTCTTTAAAAGTGTCATCTCCTTTCTTAGAATCGCGAGGGTGCTTCTCGTCCAATTTTGACGGTCCGTTAAATTTTGATCCTGAAATGAACGTGGCCGACCTAAAAGAAGATAGCGATAAGAATAGTCATTACAAACCGTTCTCGCATCCATTGGCTCTCGATTTCGATACCCAAGAAAATGTTGCCAGGGAATTTTTACTGGAGTCCAACTTAGCCCGATTGAACTCATTCGAGCATAGTATTATTGATTATCGATCATTAATTTGTCTTTTAAACTTTCCCGAAAGTTGCCGCTATCTTGGCAACTAATCACTTTATATTTACAATGCCCTCCTTGAAGAGTTGTATATAAATATTGTTAATATTTTTTCTTCTTTTTAAATCATAAATGTTCGAATTAAGGCATTCGTTTTTAATATTAATGGATAATGAATATAACAGTGGGCCTCGCTCCGCTTGCATAAAATAAAATAGGGAGGAAGGCATATGCTAGCGACATAACTCAAATATTATTTTAATTGCAATCAACTTTCGGTTGAATTTACCAAATTTCCAATTTTTAAAAATACATCGCTTACTTATTTATAATTGATTTAGAAACGTACGAAATGTCTCCGAGCGCCTGTCACTCACCAACAACCAATAAAGCTATTAGGTTACTAACCATGTACTTAACATTCCTACTAGACCCCGGTCCTAATAGCCTCAAAGAATACAGGTTAGATCCAGAGACTTATCAAGAAAACTCTATCAGTTGGCAAGAATTCAAATACCATGAGGTGGATGATTCCCAAAAAATAAAGAGAAATAACCCGCCAAATCCTGATTTAAACCCGCCAAATCCTTTAAACCCGCCAAAATCTGATTTAATACCCCAATATGGTTTTTCTTTTTCAATTAAATAGAATAAATATTTTCTCATTTTTTAAAAAAAGGAAATATCTTTTAAAAATTTTTTTTAAAAAATAAAATATTTTGTGTATTTTTACCGAATTCCGGGGAAAGGTTGGGGGTAACCCGACCGAAAAAAATGTGGAATATCTTAAGGAGAAACAAAACTGCAAGGGAAAAAATCTCTATTATCAAAAAGAACATATAATAAAACTTGCAACAACAAAAAATGCTATCTTTTAAATAAATTAGAATTAACATTTCTAGATGAGGGGGGGGGGGCTATTTGTTGATAAATTCGACATTATATATACCCTCTGATAAATAAAGAAATAATTAAGTGATTATTTTTTATTTTAGAAATATCTTTTAAAAATTCAGCTTTAAATAATTTAAGATTTTTTATTTCACAGTTGAGTTATGGAAATTGAAATCTGGATTATTTTCCCTGAACTCGCAACAAACCTGAACATAAGAATATTTTAACCATTTAAGACTCCTAACCTATTTTGACTGATCCCAGGTCAAAACTTCGTAAAATTTTTAGAATTCTTTTTATTAAAAGGAATTAAAAATATTAGATTTTTTAAAATACCACTCTCGCCTGGTCAATTTATATTTAAAAAAATTTATATTATTTTGAACTTAAGAAAGTCTCTGAAAAAGGATATTAATTTTAAATTATATATTATAAAATAATTGCCGAGCGTATCCGTTCCCTACTTGCCTTTAGAACATTCTAGAATAGTTGTTAAGTGTTGAATATATTCTTCCGGAATATTTTTTAGGAGAGGAATCATTTTGTCAAAACGGATCAAATGAAAAACATGATTTTCGGCCGACCCATTTCAATTTTGATGAAATTTTAAACTAAGGTTCTTGTTAATAATATACTTGGGGAAAATATTGTCTTCCTAGCTTTGAAACTTAAACCTAAGATGAAATCATTAAAAATTACTCTTTTTTTGCCTGTGCCTGTAATCATATTTTTGCTTTCTAACGTAAACCTGGTTATTTTTTTTGGAACAAGTCACTATTGACCACTGTCTTCTTTTTGTCATTAAAAAGGGACATTTTTTTAAACATTTATTTTATCAGCTATAATAGTACCCATTTTATATTTATCAACAAATATAGTGTTATTAAACGGCTTATTTTGAACCAATTTTTAAAAACAGCTAACTCAATATTTTGGCCAGAAAAATTTTGTCTAAGCCTCAATATTTCGCTAATAGATGGCTAGACCTTTGTTCCTTCTGCAAACAAAACCTTAAGGCTTGCATAATATTATTCTGGATGAAATCTTGAGTTAGCCTTTTTTTTAAATCGGCTCAAAACGAGCCGTTTAACAACACTACAAATATATTTATCCTAAAAATGTTATATCCATTTTATTTAAAAGATAGTATTTTTTTTTGTTTTGTTTCATATTTAATTAAATTTTCTTTTATTTATAAATAATAGAGATTTTATTTATTTTTTCTCCTTATTCTCAGTATTTTTCTCAATTTTTAGTTTTTTTTCTTCACTTTACCATATTTATTTATTTATTTATTTTAAAAAAAAAGATGAATTAAAGGTGTCCTTTTGGCGTAAAATTTTTTGAACAATTTTTAAAAAATTAAATCTTGATTGGGACGCGAGAAATTGATTTCAAATTTTATATCCGCTAGGCGTGATTTACCTTTTTTTTTTAATTCATCGATTTCCTTTCCCCATGATTTACAATCTTTTTATTTATACGAATCTATCTTTTTGATGAAATATATATTTTTTTTCACTAATGTCGTAATTTATAGTTTGAAATTGTTTTTAAAAATATTTTTTGCGAAATAAATAAAAAGTTATTTTGAAATTTAATTATTTACGGTTATAATATAGTATATATCCAGTTTATTTATATGTATGTTAGCGGCAATGTGCGTTTTTGAGGTAATGCGTTATTTTTTTTCAGTTTTAAATCATTTTTTGAGTGTGTTTTTAAAAATCTGATTTTACCGATTTAAATAAAAAAATCTTATGGAAAAATGAATATAAATTATATTAAGTTCTAAAGGTTCATAACAAAATTGCCTGATAGGTATTTCAAACATGATGATGGAATACATTTTCGGTAAAATTAGATTTTAAAATTTTTTAAAAAAGTGATCAAAAAATGATTTAAAATAGAAAAAATAACAAAATTGTCGGAAAAAAACACACATTGACGCTAACATGTTCATACATAATAATAAATCCTTTTGTATTTAATTTACAATTCAATCAATAATTTATTTTAAGCGCGAAATTTTGCGAATTCTTTTTAAATATTTTCCAACTAGCCACTTCTTCGGAAAGTATGTCGAATCAGGATGATCTCGAAAAACGTTTAGACACATTATTTTTATAATACAAATTTATAAATTGCTTCTTTACAATCTTTTTTTATTTTTCCTAAAATGTTAATTTTACCTAGTTGTCAGTGTGGCTTATTTGATATCCCGAAATTTTAACCTCTCGCAAAAGGGATTTATAAAAAGTTAATAATATTTTTTTTATCATTATTACTGATTTGAGGGCGAAGTGAACATTTTCTTGAGTTTTATGAGTTGATGGATCGAACGAAAAAAAGAAATACCAAAAACTATCTAGAGTACAGGTATTCTTGAATCATTGCTTTAATTAGTCACCTTCGAGGAGAGGGCAAAAAGTATCTGCAAAAATCTTTCGCTACATTTATCAAAACCACGAACTAATCATATTTTGACGTTGGGTAGAGGAGTGTATTTCTCAATAAATATAGTGCTACACAATTTATCTCTCACACCATTTCGAGTTTGTTTTTTTTGACATAAAAGTTAATACTTTTATAACTTAAAGAAACCTCATAATATATGGTCAATAGTAACTTTTTATTCTCGATTCTTATATATATTATTCTATAATTATTCAATTTAATTGACCTTTTATATAATATTAAATATAAATATATACCTTAATTGAAATTGATTATATCTCTTTGCTTTTTTATATATTGAAAACCTTTCAGGGTATTGAAATAACTGAGTGAATTTCTTCACAATTATTCGACATGAAATCCCGCAAATTGTATGCGTATATTAATGGTGTATTTTTTTTCATTTATAATTTTACAGTTATCGTAGCAACCCTAGTATTGTTAAACGGCACGATTTCACCCGATTTTTAAAAAATGGCGAACTCAATATTTTATCCATAAGGTATTACTCAAACCTGAAGATTTTGGTCATAGATGACAAAAAGGCTTGTTGGATATCTTTTAGCGAAATCCCCAAGTTTAGTTACGGCCTGAAATATTGAGTTAGCCATTTTTTAAAAATGGTCTCAAATTGACCCCATTTAATAACATTAGTTGCATTCTAAAAATTAAATAAAATAAATAAGCTACAATCTATTTATTTATCATTATTTTTTTAAAAAAAGAAAAATTTATTCGTGGGAAACACGAGCTCGAACCCGAACTGCAAGCCATGGATTCAACTTATTTATTTCTCAAGCGCGCCATTTTCTTTATTTGCTTCGCCATCATTTTAACCCTTTCTTGCCGCGCTTTTAAAAGAATCTTCAAAAAATTACCGCCACTCGCTGCCCGTGTGACCCGATACGTGGATGAGAAAACCCTGAGACATCATGAATATTAGCAATTGCTCGAGATTTAGGAAAATTTTTCTCATAATTAATCTTCCATTCTAAATATTATTTTTTTTAGAGTATACTTTCCCTAATATATGCATAAATATTCTTTCAATTAAAAGAAAAATTATTATATATCTCGAAACAATTAATTGTAATTATAAGTATTAAATGTTTATTTATACAGAATGCATATGGGCGAATAACTGTTTATTTTAATTTTATAAATCTATATTTACTACAAACACTATATTAATGAATATTGGCTTCCCCCCCCCTCCATCCTAAAAACAAAGTTTTTTCTAAAAAAAAATTCTTACAATTGTTAAACTACACTTTTATAAACAGTTTTAATTGATAGATTTAATATATTATATTCTTTATGATAATATTTATATTTCAAAATAATGTGATAAATATTTAATAATTAATTTTTTTTAAAAAATATAGTTTATCACCATGTTAAACGAACACTAAAGATATTCTATTTTTTATTAGTAATTCATGGGTTATTATTATAGGAATGTACTTTGTCAAATATAATATAGGTAAATTATGCAAAATATAACCTATTTGCTTTTCGATAAGTCATTTGTGTCGACTGTCAATCATCGACACTGGTCATACAATGGCATGACACAATATTTTTTAGCACTTGAAGATGATAAAGAAAGACTACATTTTATCTATATATGAAAGAAATAATAATAAAAAAACTTATAATATAATTTTGTTATAAAGGTGACAATTTAATTAGTAGAAGATTTCTAAATACATTAATTCTTCATAGCACAGATGGGAATATACAGACCCCAATCATTTAAAAAATTTTGCTTAAAATATATTTTTTATCTGGATCTTTTGCTTAATATTTTTTTGTAAAGCAGCAATAATAATATTGATTTTGCTGGTTAACTCAAAAGTTATAACTATTTTTTTGGAGCTTGGGGTCGCATTGTCATTCCTGTTTTTTCCATTATATTGACTATAAAGACACTTTTTATACATCTTTTTTATTAGTTATAAATTATATTATACTGTAATTTTAACTTTGGGTGAACATTCCAAATCATTAATTTTATTTAAATATTTTTTTATATATGTAATATTTTAAATAATTCTTTTTTTTACTCTCTTAGCAAAAGATATAATTTTAAAATAACGGTTAGTCACTGAATTATTATTTAAGTTTTTTAAAAAATGGAAGCTACAAGTTTATGATTTTTGAGATCGTATGGGATCCTGAAAACCTCAAGTGCTGTGAATTGCTAAAATATAACAAACAAAAATAACAATTGCACTGATTAATTCAATGGATTTGAGAAATTCTCTTGAGAGTATCATCAGTACAACCATCAGAAGGGATGAATACACTCATTAAATCTTATATAATATATGATAAATGCAGATGGGTATCACAAGATAAAAAAAAATTAGTTGACATATTAAAAAATATTTTATTTAACATGTTTAGATCTTGATAATTGTTATGTATAAATGACTTGATAGGTGCGAGATTACAGATAATTAT